CTTTTTAGCAGTGCTTCATTGGCAGTACATGCTCCAATGCAAATATTTATTAGAGCAACATTATGCATTCGAGCATGAGTTCTTCCACTAGAACTCAGCTTAGATGCATCTTGCGCCTAGCTTGGCTTTCGCTATTTTGTTTTGTGGTTCAATCCGGGGCTATAAAGGTTGCGTCAAAGCTTGTCATAAGATAGAAATCCTTTGGAAAAAAAGTTGGTCAGTCAACTTTCATTATTTTCTAGTTTTTCAATTTGCCCATAGCCATTTCCCGCACTTCTTATAGCCGTTTTTTGTAAAATTTGCTCTTGATCCTACTTTCCTATGCGTTGGTACCAATGCACGCTTCATTTCTGTAAGCTTCTTCTTCGATCTTGTTGCCTTTCTTCTTGTTATCGCTGGGTACTATTATAACCAATTATTGCAGATGCCGGAACCTGGCGAAAAAAGTGAATTTGAACCGGAATGGGCTGATGAACAGGAGGAACGCACTGATCGCAAATCTACTGCAAGCACATTTGGTGCTAGAAAAGATCCACATTGGTGGGATATCTCTACTTTTAGTAAGGTAGTTCCATTTGCATACTTTCTCCCTCCTCTTATAACTTGTTCACTCATTGCAAAATGTCTTTAAAGTTTAAAGGTGCTACTAATATTGCCAATTTGGATGAATTTCATCCTGTGGATGTCTTGAGTACAGAAGAAATGATATTTGCAAATTTTTCCAGGAAGACAACCCTACAGGGCTAGTTGCTGAATCTTCATTTTCTTGTTTGTTCCCAAAGTATCGCGAAAAATACATTCGCGAAAGTTGGCCACTAGTGGAAAAGACAATGGGCGAACATTTTTTGAAGGCTGATTTGGATTTGCTGGAAGGTTTGTGTATTTTCTTCAAAATGCTTTATAAGCGCAATGCGAGATGTCAATCTTGCATTGTTCCCCAATCTTATTTCAAATCCATGCGTGGATCCTCAACCTAGAAGTTTGAAATAATAGGCTCCCTTGCTTTCTTATTCGTATACTAATTTGTAAATGATTTTGGTCTCGGAAAAATAGTTTAAAACTTATATACAATATTACTGGTCATTAGTAGCAAAGGAACATTTATTCACTATCTACAGCCTCATCAAAATTGACTTGAACAAGCCGTAAACTATATATGAACAGGGTAAGGTGTGGGCAGTTAAACGCTTGTGATATTTTTATGGCATTTTTTGTTGTGGTTAAATAATTTTGGATTTCCCTGTACTTTCAATTCTCTGTCATAAAAATGTAATTAAACGCTTAAATAAAGTTTCTAGGGACGATGACTGTTCGAACTACTCGAAAAACATGGGATCCATATATTCTAATCAAAGCTCGTGATGTTCTCAAGCTCATGTCTCGTAGTGTCCCTTACGAACAAGCCATTCGAGTGTTGGATGACGAAGTTTTCTGTGAAATAATCAAAATCTCATCGATGGTATCGAGTGAAGAAATCTTTATGTTTTTTTTCTTACCGTCATATTTCTATGTGAACATCTCAGTGTCCAAATAAGGAACGATTTGTGAAACGACGGGCTCGTCTTGTTGGGAATAATGGTGCCACCCTTAAAGCAATGGAACTTCTCACACAGTGCTATGTCTGCATTCAAGGTGGAACAGTCTGTGCCGTTGGTCCCTTAGCCGGTCTGAAACAAGTCAGGTTAGTGCAATCTGGACTTACTTGCGTCTATTGTTTACTATTTACTTTTCCTGTACTACATTTTTCTTTTTTGTTTT